ACTAAAAAGGTTTTTAAATTGGATTTTGAATAAATGTGCAATTAATTGTTATAGTTTTGAATTTTCCTGTTACAAACCACCCAGTCACATGACACTCCCAGCCACACCCACCAAGCCATGCCCACGGAATCAGTAGTAAAAAAAATGAATTCCACCACTGGGTGGGGGGCACTGAGGATCAGTTTGTAGCACCAAGGGGACAGTGGACTGAAAAGTTTGGGAACCAATGGTCTAAATAATGTTTATGATGTAATAACTTAAATGAAAGCAGCGTGTAAGACCTCTGCTATGCATGCTTCTTCATCTGGAGATTAACATCTGGTATCAGCATACAAGCCCTAGGGTAAGATGTTATAGATGTACAAAAAGTTTAAACCTGCATGCTGATGTCTTGCTAAGTTCATTGACTGTTAAAGTGTGGGAGCTTCTTCGTTGGCTTAGCTCAATTCAGGGGACAAAATTTAGAGTTTTTGAAGTTTTTGTTCTGTTAGTTTTATTAGTTTTTTAAAAGAATTAGAACTTTACAGTGAAATTGGAGGGGATGATGTCTGCATCTGTAATGAATAAATCAATGCTTATCTTTAAACAATTGAAGGAAATGGATCCATAACTTACACCATCATCCTTTCCATAATATAAAAAAAGTATTCATCCGACATATCTCTTGGAGATAACTCAGCCAAATCTCGCATTAATAACTTTCAATTCTTAATAGTGCTTAAGTAAAGATAAAAAAGACTGGTTTCTTTTAGTTTCCAGTATAGCCTGTCAGCAATAACACCTGTTTTCTCTATTCTCAAAATTAAAGAAGGGATTTCATGTAGATTGCTTTTCAGGAGAAAAGAAATAAACAATCAAGTACTTTGGCAAACCCCTCTTCTACTAAAATTCAATTCAAGGAATTGATTAAAGTCCTACATGACATTGGATCATTTTCAGGACATTGGATCATTTTCAGGACCACCTCTTCCAAAGAATATATATTTCCCCCTGAAATGGACAGGGTATACTTCAGATGTAGCAGGACCTTTGAAGTGTGTGATTTCCATGGCTGTCCCTACTGTATTGAACACCCTCCCCGTGGCAATACAGTAGACTTTCCATCTCTTTTAGCATTTGGAAAGTCATTAAAACCTGGATTTTTAAAGAGATGCTAGGATAGTTTAGAACTGAATTGAAAGAATGGAACAATGGTGATTGATATTTGCTGTGGATCTTTTTAGAAGGATGGCTCATATGCAGGTATTTTGTTTTGTTGATTTGTTTGGTTAAAAAAAACCACACACAAGGATGCACACCTTCATAGAGAGATATACACCAAGGCTTCAAACAGTTCTTCGGAGTTTTAATATGCTCAGCCCTTAGAATAAGCAGAAGAAAACATTTTTGACTTACCATACAAGCTAATAAAGTATACCATCTTTTTCTTAACAATAATCCTACTAAAAGTGAAGTTGTCTTGCAGCCTGTCTTCTATCACCACATGAAAAGCAAAACACAGGTACTTAGATTTTATTATACTTTTGGTAAATAAGGATGGGGAAGCAAAATGATTCTTTGGCTCATTTAAACACTACATATTTTTGTTTGGGGAATATTTATTCTAAAATAGAATTAATTNGGAGGTCAGAGGCTGGAGTTTTTGAAACAATGTATCTCTTCTCTTTCCTTCTTCGATCTCACTCACTTTGTACCTGAAGGGTTTGCAACTTGTTTACAGAAACTGATAAAGAGCCAAGGGCATGAATTTTTTTTGCAGGTGCCTTTGAGAACTATTTTGACAGGGGAGAGGAAGGGGAAAAAACAGAACCCTTCTCCTTTGAAGAGCATAAAAGAACTCAAGTCAAGTTCAAGTCAACCTAAAATAAAAAAATAAAAGAGGCCTGGAAGGCTAGAGTGGCAGTGGCTATTAGTTTTTTTTCTTTCCCCCTTCTTTTTTGGAAACATGGATCAATATTCAGATGAGGAAACCTTAAAATTCCAAAATATTATGGCTGGAATTCAAAATCTATTGGAAGGATATAGGAGAATTGAGAAGAAGTTAGAAAGACTAGTCTTCCACACAGCAAAAGATGAAGGGGTTGGAGCCCCCAAAATTAAAGGGGAGAATAAAGACATAGACGATAAAGATAAGACAGTAGATGAATTTATTAATGGAGCAAATGTGGGTGAAAGTGGAAAGAAGGGAATATGGAAAAGGGAATTCGATGAACTGGAGCCCTACCCCAGATTCCAAGATACAGAAGAAAAAAAAATGATAATGATGATGGATTTAAGAAGAAACTTTTTTCAGAAGCACGATTGACAACCAAAGACAAGCTAATTTTAGTAGCTGGAGGGCAACGAGATTACCTGAGAGAACCTTCAAGCCACAAAGTTTGGAGAGAAGTTTATAAAAACCTTATAAAAGAGATAAAAAGAAGACTGACATCACAATTGGCAAGAGAGATAAGACTGTTTTGTACTGGAAAGATACATGTTGACAATGAAAGTTGACAATAAAAAATCAGTTGATTTTGGTGATCAATAAGTAGGAATTTAGTAATTTTTAAATTGTTTTAGATTGTTATTAAATGTTTATTTGTTAACAAATAA